CCCAATAAAAACATGAAGTTTGTATATTTTCGCCCGTTTTATAAAACTAATATTTAACAAAAATACGCACAAATTATTTTTATATAACGCAATAATTAACACATTAATTAATGGCAATAATTCAAGATAAATGGTAATTTAAATTGTCAAAATGTCATAAAGCGCGTTAAAAAACATATTATATTAGGTATTTCCCAATTTGTATCGTATTTGGCATTTGTCTCTTAACATGAAAAATTTTAAAACACAACAAATACAAATTTTCAAGCAATTTTCTCTTCCAATTTTCATTTATTCAAAGGAAAGTTACTATTAAACTTTTATTTCTCTCATCTATAAAAAGAACGAGTGACGCAAAAATAAAAAAAATAAAAAAATTCTATACAACTTTTTTATTCATTCGAAGTTTAATTACGCGAAACTTTTCTTTCTCTTTAGTGATGAAATAAAAACTTTTCTTTCTTAACATAAATTTATACTTAGAAATGAAATTAAATTAGAAATAAAGTAACAATGAACAAAGCAACTAACAGATTAATCTGGGACTATTTTGATATTAATGAAAATAATCAACATAAACAACATTACCAACAGCAATTATCAAATAAACAACAATATCGCATAATTTTAGGGGCTTTTTATTTTTATTGCTTAGTCGTTCTAAATAATAAGTAAATTTAGTTCAAGTTAATATTTCAATATTTACAGTTGCAATATAATAAAGAAATGATGTTTAATGTTGAACTTTTTATTTAATTATTTATTTTTTGCCTACATTTGTTATAAAAAACTTTTAAACCCCTGCATTAAAATAATTTGTTTTGAATATATTTCAAAATGATTATTTAAACTAATTCTTTTCGCTTGACTTCCCGAACTTCATGCAAAGCAAATTGAGACGAAATATTATCTAACCAAATAAAAATGCTTTTACTAATTTTATACGGGTAATTAATGTTAAACATTTTTTTATCAGAGTCTTGATTGAGATAATAAATATTCATAATTTATAAACATTAAATATATAGCGCAATAACAATTTATAGCAACGAACCAGCATAAAATATTTAAAATTTTTAATATCTTTTTAAATATTAAAAGTAGAAAAAAAAAAACTAAACAAATAACCAAAAAAACTTTGACTAAAAATAAATAAAAATATTTCCAGAGTTTCTTTTGTTAAAAGTCTACTGTGACATCAAATACTAAAACTTTTATGAATTAAACGCGCTTCAAAGGAATTGCCAAAGTCTGTAGATTGCGACGCATAATTTGAAGACTCCGATTTATTGAAAAAAATGGACAAGGCGAGCTTCGGCAAAAACAACAACATTTGTTTTTCACGGTATGCATTCATTATTTATTTTTAATCAAAAAAACTTGGTTCAAACTTTTTTTTTTATCATTATCTTTAATATGAACACAACGTGTGTCGGGAGTTTGGGATCCCTTTAACACCCTGATACTAGAGCCAAAACATTCAGAGTGATGAGCATTAAAGTCACCAACAACAACAGTATTGGCTGATGGATAAAGAGAGAGAGCTTGGTCAATTTGATCAGAAATAACATCAAAAAGAGTACAGGCTTGAGATGAAGGAGAGCGATGTAGAACAATGATACAGGTGATAGAGTGAAGTGTTGCTAAACAAAAGCACATAAAAATTGTCTGTGGATTCAAACCTAGTTTCCTGAAAAATGGGTGAATTCTTACAAATGTAAATGCCAAGGCCAAGCATGTGACTATTGGAGTCTTTATGAATTAAAGAAAGATAACCATTAAAACTAACTCAAATTAGTCTCACAAAGAGCAAGTAGGTCTGTTGAGCTTATTATCAAAACTTGCTCTTTGCAAGTTTTGATAATTAGCGCTTTTAAAAAATGCATTAAAAAAAACACAAAACAAATCAAAATTAAAATAAACAATCCAAAAAACTGAGAAGAGAATAAAATTATTAAAAATATATATGTTTTATAATATAAAAATTAACCTAAAAAAATAAAATATTTAAAGAATGATAAAATAAATAAAGGAAAAACCATAAAAAAATCAAAACATTTATTAATTAATTTAAACTTACTTGTAAGCCATAGTAAAAAAAAAATTATCACAAAACAATTATAATAATCGTTATCATTCCTTCCCATGAATAAATAGGCTAATACAAGGGCGGATCGATAGTGAGGGAAAGGGTCATAAGGGCGTCTTCTTCCCCTTCAGATTATTTATTTATTTTTTTAGATATTGGCGTTTAAAAACGTAACTAACCTAGGCTGTTTAAATGTGCCATGAAATTTATAAAATTTTGTAGTGCAAATTTAAAATTTTATTAAAAAGTTAATAGGATACAGGGTGCAACAAATTAACAAATGTGCGCACATTTCTTAAAAAACAGAAAAACAAACATCATGCTTCTTTAATTTTGCTTATGCCAACGCTGCCGTTTGATGAAGATTTTTCAAAATGAAATTACTTCAGCAATTTTTTTTCAAAATAATTTTTTGATCAACAGTTTTTTAAAAATTGTAAAAAACACATTTAAAATGAAAAACAATTAATTTCAGAGATTTAAAAAAAAAAAAGGCCAAAACATAATTACTTTTTTCAATAGTGTCACTTTTAAGTAAAATAACAAAGTACGCTATAGAAAAAAGTAATTATGTTTTAGCATGGTTTTTGCATGCGCTTGTTTTACTTAAAATAAATACTTGTGCAAAAACTTCAAAAGAAATCGTGCTGAAACAATTCGATTGTTTTCTTTTATTGAAGAAAGTGATAATATTATTTAAGCATGGTTTCTTTTATGTTTTTAGCAATTATATTAAAAGTTTATAGTAAATGAATTCATTATATATAAAGTTTTGCATGCTTTTTGTTTTAAATTTTCTTATTTTCCATAAAGTGAAATAATAAGTTTGCTTGCATATTAAAAAACTTTTAGAAGTTTTTTTTTATTTTGCATTTATCATTAATAAAAATTAAATACATTTATCAAGCATCTTTGATATATTTAATAATTTATTAACTAGAATAAAAATTACTTTAAATTTATTTGATATAAACCTCTTAAATTAGACATTTGTCAATAAATAAAGATATGCAAGTCAAAGCTCATTAAAAAAAAACAACAATGTCACGCCCTGGGATAAAAAATAGTTGGCAGATGCAATTGTTTCAAGATTATTGAAATTTGTTTTCTTACTGAATAATTTCTTTATTAGAAAATATATTTTCACGATAAAACGGTTTGTAATTATTTTTTGATAGCTTCTGTATTTGTCATTTTGAATTAAACTCTAATCTGAATGTTTTTTTTTTAAATGATTGCCTTTTATTAAGTTATATTAAAGTGCTCAGAAAATTTTGTGGCAGTTTAATTGTAATTGTATTTATGGAATCAATTAAATTAAAACTCGCATTTACATTTACTTTGTTTTTTTTAGCACATTTTTTTTAGCGCTGATTATCAAAACTTGCAAAGAGCCGTGGTCAACTTGTTAAAACAAAGAACTATATGCATGGTCATATAGGACCTGCGACTACATGCCTCTTACGCGAAGGCCTGATCTCTAGCCTTACTCAATCAAGGCCTTAAGGGGAACTTTAAGTCAGAGTTTGTTTCTCCTAGCCGTTTGCCTAAAAAAGCAAACCATACAAGACAGCAAGTATGGGGAAGGTAGTACTGGGTTATTAGTACTGCATTATACAAGGGCATGGAACAGGTAGTACTGGGTTACATGATATCAGTAGCAGGGATATATAATATATATATATATATATATATATATATATATATATATATATATATATATATATATATATATATATATATATATATATATATATGTATATATATATATATATATATATATATATATATATACATACATATATATATATATATATATATATATATATATATATATATATATATGTACATATATATATATATATATATATATATATATATATATATATATATATATATATATATATATATATATATATATATATATATATATATATATATATATATGTATGTATATATATATATATATATATATATATATATATATATATACACATACATATATATATATATATATATATATATATATATATATATATATATATATGTACATATATATATATATATATATATATATATATATATATATATATATATATATATATATATATATATATATATATATATATATATATATATATATATATGAAATACATATTTATGAAATGTTATATATATGTATATTACTTATGTATATTACACTGAATTTACAAACTTGTCAGACTTGTGAAATCTGCATAATATTGTCTATTTCATGAATTTGGCACTGCTGTTACCAAATTCAAGCAATTATTAATAAGTAACAATAATAATCTTAATAATAATATATTTATTTATTATCAATAAGACATCACTATCAACAAAAACCCACTAAGCCTGCTCCAGGAAAGGAGTGCGGTATTGACTGAGGGTTTGGCATGGGGCAGCAATCTTTTTTTCCATTATTCTTTGTTTTTTCCTTCTTTTCTAATTTTTTTATTTTTCTTTCACAAAGCTGCTGCTACAGCACTTCTTTATGGCAGCAGGCTATAAGATGTTTATGTATGTAACATGTATATATTATTATAATAATTTTTAAATTAGAATAATATTTTGCGAATTCAGCAACAATTTATATAGATTTTATACAATTTAAAATTATTTGTTAAGTAAAACTTTTTATTCTATTTTTATACTATTACCATGAAAATAATTTATTACAATAATTATTATTTCTTCAACAGATAAAAACTTATAAAAACAATCCAATATCAGAAAATAAAATGGTTTTATGTAAGTAAATGAAAAAACCTTTAATATAGTGAAAAAAAATTATTATTTTTAATTCTAAAATGAAATCATCAACTTATGCAGAACACTTTTTTTCTAAATTGAAAAAAAAACATTTAAGTTTTCAAACAATAATGCCAACCTGTCATATAAATCCACATCTTCCATTCCCCATCCTTGAATAGTAGTATCCAGGCCTCCAATCAGATCAAAGTCTGACCTATACTGGCAAGTAATACCAAATCCAAACTTTCTCCAAAAACCTTCATCTACTGAATACGAAAATGAGCTATTTGGTTTTTGTTCATTTCCATATGTAATATTTGGAGAAAACTGGCTGAAAACTATTGGATAATAGACTTGTTTTCCTATTATAGAATTCATTCTACAGCGCCTTATAAAGTCTTCATTAAACTCAAGATCCACATCACAAAAAAATAGCAATGAGTTTTTTTCAAGTTGAGCAGCACCCATGGTTAATGCTAAGCCTCTTGAAAATACGCCTTCCATTTCGAGCCAGCGAAAGCTATAAAGCGGATATTTTTTTTTCAAATCAGAAATCAAAGTTACGTGTTTTGTGGAAGGCGTTCCACTGTTAAAATAAACAATGGTTAGCGTACTTTCAATATTTTTTTTTAAACAAACATTTTCAAATATTTTCATAAAATAAACAAATGTAGAAAAACGACCAGATAGGGGTAAAATAAAATTGACAGCATCATTTTTATTTTTTTCACTGGGTTCTATAGAATAGATTGTATTTCCAAAGGGCTGTTGTAAATATGCATGATGGCGAACATGAACTGTCATTCTTCTTCGATTTCGCCCAATATGACGATGATATTTCATAAGAAGATCTAACATGTACTGGACACCATACTTTGGATGGTAACGACGATAGCCATGGTTTAGTCTTTTAAACTCTAATGTTCTATGCAATACTTTGCGAGCCTCTTTATTAATAATTGCCATGGTTTGACCCAGAACAATATTCATTCCATCTTTCAAAGGACTGATCATACCAATTTCAGGAGAGTTTGTTTCGTAAGAATAAACCTAAAATAAAATCTAAATGTTAAATTGTTATAAGTTTTTATTATTCCCTTTAAAACAAAAAAGGTGTATGTGCGTATGTATATATATATATATATATGTATATATATATATATATATATATATATATATATATATATATATATATATATATATATATATAATTATATTTGCATATATATACACTCATAATTATATTTACATATATAAATATACAGCTATGGACAAATAAATCTGATCTGAACAAATAGATATTTAATATAATTATTTACAGATGAAAAATATGCATGCTGGCAATGCACTAAACAATCACAGGCTGTGTAGGTGACTGTGTAGTTATCAACCAATAGAAATTATCTTATATGTTCAATATATATTTCTGATCTACATATATATGGTCAATATATTTAAAAACATGTGTAACTTAATCATTATTATCTTAGAAAAAACAATACGTTCACAAGTACAACTGGAAGGACAGCAAGTTTATAGAATAACTGTTCATGATATCATTCAGTGTAGTCTGTCTGCAAAAGACATAAAGATTTCAAACTTCATTTCATTTCAATGCCCCTTTACTGTGAATGCTAGTGACCAAACAGTTTGAAGACACCTTAAAACCACATCTTTTTCAAAATAATATTTGTGATTGCCTCAAATTTTCAAAGAACACAAAAAAAAAAGATAAAAAAAAAAGTTAACATTCAGCAACAAATGAACTCAAATCAAAAAAACTCAAATCAAAAATTTATTTTTCAAGTTAAAAGTCATGATCAAAAACTTATCACACAAATATAAAGTTTCAAAAGTAGTTCTGGTAACCTATGTAACTATGGCAACATGCACATTGCTAAACACATGTGCTAAACACAACATGTATTATGTGCTAAACACCATATATAATCACAATAAAAAAGTTTGTCCTGGAAAATTAGCAAAAAATCTACTTAAAACCATATTGTGATTATTTAAAGAATGTGATTATTCAACTTATCTAAAAATATGTAAAAAATTGACTTTAAACATAGGTCCTGCTAACCACATATTATTTTTGAGCACATTATAGTTTTATAATATAAATAAAAATAGTTTTAAAAAATGAAAAAGAAACATGTCTGAAATTTTGAATAAAAATAGATTGCAAAAAAGTAACTGTTCTTGTTAATGATAATAAAGACTTATATCTTACAGCCATTAATATGTCCATTTATAAAATTGCCTTACTGTAAGAAAATATTAGGTGTTTAGAGGAAGTAAATGTAAAAATTTTTGTAAATTTGATGCAAGTAATGCAAATTTTGATGTGACGCCATGATAGACTAGTAGTAGAACACTATTATCATCACAAATAAATGGTTCGAGGTTTGAATCCACCCTAAGCGACTGGAAATCTCACACTTAAACTGTTTTTACATAGAACAACCTTGTTTAACAAGTGTTTCAGAGTTTAACAGTTGAAAGGGAGTAAAATAAAATAAAAATAAACTTTAATTTTTTTTAATAAAAGGAGCCATATTGGCTCCTCAACTGTAGTAACAATGGGGAGGTGCCAACAAGTATTCTAGATACTGTAGTTCCAAAAATAGACTTTTTTAATTTCATTAACTTTCAATTAACTTTCTATATCTTTATATATAAGTTCTGTTTTTAGGGTCATCTTTATAAATGGATGAATTTGTATGCAACATAATATTAATTAATATAATAATATTTAATATTATTTTACCTTATGTTGCATGCAAATGCATAAAAATATATAAAACTGGTACAGATATAATATTTACGGATAAGAGATTGTATTTATTACAATAGAAATAAATAAATATTTTTTAACTTTATTAAAATATATCCCACAAAAATATATTCCTTTAATAGTTTTTTTAAAAAAATTGAACAAAATCTTATTTCTATGACTATCATTTTTAAAGATCTAAGAAGCAGATGACATAATTTTAACAATCAGAAATTATTAAGAGAGGAGCAAATCTAAAGTTTAAGTTTCAAATTTTACACTCATAAGTGACAGTTGTTTCGTGGTTTTTTAATCTTGTCAATTTATTTAAATATAATATATTTTAAATATAACATACCTACTAATCACTTAACCTACTTAAACATCAAAACAAAACTGCTTGAGCAAAAAAGACTTGTAACTATTAGAAAAGTTTACTTATGTTCCATACGATCCTAAATAAAATGTTTTATAAGTGGATTTTTTACATTTTATAAACAATATATATAAACAAATAATACATTTTTTTATATAAATTGTTTATATAGGGATGGTTAGGCGCCAAACCTGCCTATTCAACAAAGTTTAAAATAAGTTAGTTTTATAATTAAAAAATAATTTATATAATGTTTCTTTGTTTATATAATGTTTCTTTGCAAACACCAATATTTAAAATTTTTAAGCACTAAACTACAATTACTTTTAATTCTTTTGGTTTAGTGGCTTTTGCTAAGAACTTTTAAATTTTGCGTCAAATTATCTCATTTCAACATATTCGTTGTATCATCCATACTGCAGCCGTTTTTCAAAATGCCTTAAGGTAAAAAATATCATTTTTGACTTTTTTACAAAATAAGCTTTGTTTTTTTGGTTTTGTCTACAAATGATATTGAATACATATTTTCAAAAAGTAAAATTGCAAAAGGGAGACAGAACCCTATTATTCTAAGGTCACGATATATATATATATATATATATATATATATATATATATATATATATATATATATATATATATATATATATATATATACTTAAATATCACCAAAAAACTAAAATAAAACGTCAACACACACCAATAAGTTGAAGTTTATAATACAAAACAACAAGTTGAGGTTTGTAATATTTCAAAACTAAAAATGGTAACACTGCGCTGCAGCAACCACGTTTTGTTATGATTTCCTTAAAATACAACTTTGCCACCAATTATTGTAACCAAATACGATTTTTTCTTTCATTGTTTGAAGAATAGCCATTAAAACAAAATTAAAAATCAAGGATTTTAGTTTTATTATGTAATGTTATTTATTTTATTATAATTTAAATTGTGTTAAATTATATATTAAAAAAAAATTTATCTTGAAAAATGACAAATTGTTTTTATAAATAGTTTACGCTTTTTTTTAATTCTGCATTTTAACTAGCAATTTTGCAAAGCATAAGCACACCACAGCGATCATAGCTTAAATATAAAAAGTTTTTAAATTGCAGTTTTATTTACCAGTTACTTCATTGAAAAGTATTACATATTTTAAAAAGTATTTTGAAAAAATTTTTAATGTTTTTTATTTTATAAATAAATAGATTTTTCCAGAATGTCGAAAAAAATAAAAATTGCTAAAAGATTGATTTTTATTTACACGTCACAAGCTGATAATGATTTATGCATGAAATGAAGCATATTGTTTAAATAAGTTTTAAAGTGAGCATAATTTAAAAGTTGGAAATCTAAGTTTTGCAAACTGCGGCTCTATCTCAAGCTGGTAAACGATCTTCCCCAGAATGTTTGCCTTATTATTTTTAAATTTGATATTATGTCAGACAGTTGACAGATCTGTGCATAATCAAAACAACCAATCTTGCTTGTTTATGAAATGTAAAGCAAACTGTGGTTTGGAAAAGTTTGATGAATATGTTTTTAATGTAATAAATCAATTGGCGATGATTCTAAGAAAATGGTCCAAGAAAACGCGCAGAAAATTGAACAACCATTAACATATTTGTTAGAGGGGTGCGTATTGCTGCATCAGAAATTGCCAGATTATAAATGTCATGTGAATATAAAGTGACAACAAAGTGCATATTTTTGTTTATGTTGCCAAAATGTATCAGAAAATGAATTGATTATACAAGTAAGTAAAATTTTAATTTCATTTGTAGTGCGATAAGAAAATTTTATAATTTTGTATTAACCTTTTCAGTATATTTATAAACTAACATATTCATCCATTCATAACTATTCATCCATTTATATTTTTAATTCTTCTAAAATCAGATGGATTTCAGTGAAAATTAAACCATAATGGAGCAAAGTGAAATTTAATCTGTTTACTGGGTTCATCAGCAACTAACAGTATTCACTGCTGCAATTTGGAATAAGAGCAATATACACTCTTATGCCGTTGCATCCGATTTTTTACATCATGATAAATATGCCATCTTGATCATTATCAAACAATTATTAAGTTGATGTCAAAATATTTGTAAATTAAACTTTTTTACAGATGGTCCTTTGTTTTTCACAGATGGTCCTTTGTCACCTTCATCCTTTTTCACAGATGGTCCTTCGTCTAACAATTCAAAAATTCATGTCATGACAGCCATTAATAATTTTTACAAATTGTCATCTGCTCATGCTGAGATTTGTTGGTCATTTTTTGCAACATCATACGGAAAGGGGCAGTTGATGGCGTAGGTGGAGAAATAAAAAGAATGGTTAGGACAACAACAAAAGCTGGAAAATGATATTGTTGCAGTTTGGAAGGTTTTGTGAGCATTGCAAGTGCTAAAAATACCAAAATTAATGTAAGTCTTTATTTAGAGAAAAAACCTTAAAATGAAAGTTATAGAAATGAAACTTTTGGTTATTAAATTTTAATATTTTTTAGATCATCTCGATTACAAATGAATATTTTACCCCAAAGCAAAGTGAGATCGATGAAACACTTCTCAAAGATATGTTTAGAGTCAATGGTATTTGTCGCCAACACTCTTTTCTTTTTATTATTGATGGTGCTTTTATGGCAGTTTGTAACCAATCAGAAAGGGAAAAAATTGTTAAAAAATCATCTTCATTATTGGTAAATGCGGTATCTGAAAGGTACAAATTTAATACTATTTCCCCAGGTATATTTGTCTTAGTAGAATTGCGTTCTGCTGGCAGAGCAAAGACATACCTTGCTGAAGTATTATAAATTGTAGATAATATGGAACATATTAAATTTCAAAAATAACAAAATAAACTCATTTTTATATACCCACCTACGACTTCTCCAGACATGACTTGTGTGAGTTAAAACTGTTAGTACCGCAACCACACTTTGAAAACCGAGAACACATTATTATTGGGCAAAATTTTACAACTAAACTTATTGTTAAAATTTGATATTATAATTTTTTTATCTTTAATATAATATATTAACTATATGATACATTTATCTTTAACATAATACTTTAAAATATCGTATCTATTATATATTATTGCCGAACTTAATAGTGTTAGTAGTGTGCGTTTGAGCCTGTTTGACATGGTACCCTTGGCAGCCATTGCAAGCAAAGTAATGGCGAGAAAGAGTCACAGCACTTTGTTTTATAAGAAAATGTGAACGAATGCGTATCCAAATATCTAACGTACGTAAACTTTAAATCAAGTAATGTTAAAACATGTTAAAACACAATGAAACATTTATCAAGTTTTACAGCTTGATTGTCATTTGAAAATTGCATTGCACCAAGCTCTCCTTAATTTTGATCTATAACATTTTTTCCCTAATAAAAATCATTACATTGTTTTAAAAATATTCGCTTGAGTATGTGCCAGTGTGGCCGAGTGGATAAGGACCGAGCTTCTGAACAAGTAAGCTAAGGTTCGATTCCTACCAATGGTTTTTTTTTTTTTTTTTTTTTAAATGATTTTGAAATACAAAATAATTTTAAAGTTTTATAAAGATTATATACAAACATATGTAACGTAACAATATTAAACACTTTCACAAAAGGAAAGATTTTAAAAAAACTGAAATTTCATAAAACATCAACAACAACAAAAAAACATCATCGGGAGAAAAAATTTGTTGCGTATGTATGATGATTGAGACACTTATGTTATCAATGTGCTCAGGTAATTAGTCCTAATAAGCTGTGGATGGTCTAAAAAAAAAGTTGTCTGAAACTTAATGAAGAAAAAACTATATTAAATAAATAAGAAAGTCCTGCTACTCAAGAAGGTGCTGCTGTAGAGGCAAAAAAAAAAAAAAAAAGCCTGTAGCTAGAAAAAAATTTAAAACTTTCTTTTGACAATGAAAAGCTTTTTTTGTTACATTTATTTTTTTACTATAAATATATGCTGCAGCTGTTTTTCAAAACGCTTTAATATGCTTATTTCAAGACAAACGCAATTAAAAAAATATTATTAAAAATTAACTCTTTGCTAAACCTTTATAGAAACGAATAGTTTTAATGAATATTTTCAGAACTCTTTGAAATTATGTATTCAATAACGTTTATAGACATATAAACTAGCTTATTTTTTAAAAGTAAGCTAGTTTATCAAAAATGATATTTCTAACCTTAAGGCGTTTTGAAAAACGGCTGCAGTATGGATGATACAACGAATATGTTAAAATGAGATAATTTGATGCAAAATTTAAAAGCTCTTAACAAAAGCCGCTAAACCAAAAAAATTAAAAACAACTGCTTAAAAATTTTATTATATTGAAAATTTTTATTTTAGTGAGTATGGTGATTGTAGTTCAAAATTTTATTATAGCACTTAAGAATTTTATTATAGTGCGTTGGTTTTTGCAAAAAAAATGCTATATAAATCATTTTTTAATCTTAATATAAACTAACTTTTTTTAAAACTTTGTTGCGCTTAACCATCTCTATATAAACAATGTATATATAAACATATACGCCACTTGTTTATATATATTGTTTATAAAATGTAAAAAATCTACTTATAACGTTTTATTCAGGATCGTATGTGATATAAGTAAACTTTTCTAATAAAAGTCTTTTTCGCTCAAGCTGTTTTGTTTAGATTTTCTGTAGTTATGTTATTATATTTAAAAAAATTGACAAGATTGAAAAAAAAAAACACAAAACATATTGTCACTTCCGAGTGGAAAATTTGAAACTTCAACTTTAGATTTGCTCCTCTTTTAATAATTTCTGATTTCTAAAGTTATGTCATAAGCTTCTTAGACCTTTAAAAATGATAGTCATAGAAATAATATTTTATTTCAATTTTTTATATAAAACTCTATTAAAGATATATAAAATACATTTTTATGGAATATATTCTAATGAAGACAAAAGGGGTCATCCATAAAGGACGCCATCCAAAGAGGGAGGGGGAGGGGTTCGAGATAAAAAGGACAAAAAAGAGCAAGGGGAGGGGAGAGTTTGTCAGAAAAGAACGTCATTTTATAGATTTTTTATTTTAGTTTAATTAACATGAAAAACTATGTAAATATGTGTTTTTAAGAAGATAATGTATGAGAATATTTTTAATTTTATTTTTCAAAGGTGTAGCAGCAGATTCAAACATCATTGCAAGATGAATTAATTTTTTCGGGGGTTTAAATTGGGGGGGGGGGGGGAGGCAGGATTTTAGGACATCCTTTTCAAAAGGGTATTGGGAAAAAGGACAATCGGTGACAAAGGGGGGAGAGGGTCAAAAATTGGCTAAAAAATGATGACGTCCTTTACGGATGGCCGTAAAACTATTTATTTATTACTATTGTAATAAATAGAATCTCTTATCCGTGAAAATGATATATCTGTACCAGTTTTATATATTTTAAAATGCAACATAATATGTATTCATAATTTGTATGCAACATAATAAAAAACATAACAAACTGCATCGTCTGTCTTGATGTTTAAGAAACGTCTTGCTGTACTGCTTTGTTCAAGTTAATACAATTTTGTTGTAACTTGTCCAGCACTTGATACAATTTAATATTTCAGTAAAAAAAAAATTTTGTTGTTAATGTATACTCAGTGTTAGTGGCCTTCGGGTCCTTCTGTTGTTTTCAAATAAATAAATAAAATAAATAATATAAACTAATAAAAACATTAAAATAAATGCAAAAGGAAACTTGACGCATGGTTTATTTTGCCACAAACTGGTGGCAATGCCCAAAATTATTTGGGCTTTACTAGTAGATAATATTTGGCTTTACTAGTAATTATTAATTACTAGTAAAGCCAAATTCTTCTTTTAGTTCTTAATCATAAGAATTAATTTTTATTATGACTTTGGTTTAGTGCTCTTCTTAATTTTATTTGTATAGCGTTACGTACAAACTTACATACAGACATTTTATGGAGCGTTACGTACAAATTTACATACAGGCATTTTATGGAATAATCGGGTATATCTATATATCTATAAAATGAGAAAACTTAAAAATTTTATTTTAAATTTTAGAAATCTTTTTTTCTATATTCTAATTTTTTTGCTATAAATATATAAGCAAGATTGAAAAAATTTCAAAATTTATACGCTAAGAGGAGGGTCTGAAACCCTCCAAAACAACACTGATGACAGCACATTTAATCACTGCGCTATCAATGAAATGCATTTAGCTGAAAAACAAACCTAATTATAAGCCTCTTATAAGCTCTACATATGCGGAAAAGGAGCGCATGTTAAGTTTTTTGCTCTTAAATTTTTTTTTCAGAATAAATTATTTTACTAAAAAATATTGAAGTAAATAAGGCTAGAAATAGATACGTAAATTGGTAATAGATTGGTAAAGACCTGCATTTTATGGATCCTGGAAAGCTAGGATATATAAGGAAAAAGTATAGAAAAGTTCGGTTTGAAATAGATATACAAAGACATGTATTTTTATGGGGCCAATCTCTAGTTAATATAATTAGTATTGAAATATATGTTATTTATGATAGCCATAATTGATTTATTTCCGAAAATACAATCCAAAAACGAAAAATGTTTGCATGTTCTGTTTGTTACTATTTTTTTGTCTGTGCGTGATTTTGGTTGAAACTACTATTATGGAGCAAATATACATCTTAGAATGTTGTAACTTATGTAATAATGCTTGTATAATTACCTATAAAAAACAGAACACTCAACAGTGACACATTTTTAGAGAAAAAAGGGTTCATTTATTTAATTTTTTTTTTTTTTTTTGCTTTTTTCAGTTCCATGCGTGGCCATTAAAAAACAATTTATTCTATAAAGAAGCGACCCATAGCTACCAATATTTTGTATAGAAAACTTATACAAAGATGTCATTTAAATAAAAGTCTAAGATTACAAAGTACATTATTTTCAAAATAATTAATGCAACAGATGCATTAATTCAGAATAATTAATCTAATGTTTCATGCGTGATTTTTTGGAAATGAACATATGCATTTTTTACAATACAAAATATGCGTCTTTTGTACTTTAAACTTCCGGAATCTAATTTTTTCTTTTAAATAAAGCATTTTTATGGCAGTCATTTTTGATACCTCTGTTAAAGTTTAAGATTATTGATAGAAAACTCTGTTTATATGTGTTCCCAATTTTGAACCAAAAAGTATACTTAAAAACTTCCCTAGTAAGCTGGTATGGCAAATTTAGAAAGCTGTTTTAACTATTAAGAACATACAAATAAAAAATCCCATTTTTTTAAAAAAAGTATTAATAAGAATTACATTATTCTACTTATAGATCCTGGGATCCAGATTGGGGAACTATCATTCCCCCATCCTACCCTACTTCAAACTAAACCCAAATAAAAAAAAACTTTTTCTTCTGAAGGTATACTTTAAAGTTTCATATTTACACATGAAATGTAACAACTTGAAATAATAATAAATTCTAAAATAATTTCAAATTCTAATAAAGTAAAATAAAAACTATAATAAATATGTAATTAAAAACCTTTCTAGGTGTAAACATTTCCCACACAGGAGTCTCATTGTTCATCATTTGATTGTGGAAATTTTTCACATCACTTAAGGAAATAACTTCTTCTTCTTCTAGCTTTTCTAGCCCTAGATGAAAAAAATGTTTAAAATAAAAATTTTTAACTTACGATATAAATTAATTATCATTTTTATTATACTTATTAATCATATACTATTTTGTAAACTTTAATTTACTCTATCCATAAAACCTATTGGTTGTAAATTTTCAAAAAGTCTTATGATGACCAAAGCTCTGTGGTTCAGTATGGGAAAATTGGTGAAAAAAAAAAGCTAATATACAATTATTTATTGTTCTAACATTTTAAATTGACAATTATATAAAATCTATTACACATTTAAAATTTATCCCAAATATCCCAGCCCATATTTTTCAACCTTTTATAGTTGCACTTCTTCTAGTTTACTATTATTGCTGTTATTATACAGTGTATGAACACAGTTGAAGTTTGTGGCAGTGTAAAGATTGCAGGAGCAATCTATTTGATTGCCTTTAGTCAAATGCTTCTTTATTTACAAATATTTTTTTGTAGTTTTCAGTTTTTTAACTTGTAAATATTCCTCAAATAAAAAAAATATATTTTATTAATAATATTGAAGTAGAAGAGTGGTTGTTTTCTAAGTACCAAACTCTCTCTTATGTTTCTGGTAGTACAGAAACTTCAACATTGGGGAAGTAATAACAGTAAAATAATACAAATAGCAATATTAAAACTAAATAAAAATAATAAACTTAAACATATATTAAAGTTAAAAAATAACTATGGCTATTTGAGCTAAGAAACCTTTTTCAAGAATCGTGTCAAGAGAAACAAGCCGTCTTTGAAGTTGAATGGTATCATATGTACGTTCACGTATTTTTAACTCCATAAAATGCAAATGCAGTCTATGCATATATGGGGATTGCTTGATAGGATGAAGAGTTACAGCATCCCGAACAGCTTTTGTATCTAAGTTCTGAGTAAATGCAAGTTCACCAGATCGATTATGGTAGAACAAAGATTGCATCTACAATAAAAATACATCAATTTTTTAAATAATATTTAAAAAAAATAAAATAGGTTGATATTGCGAAATTTGAAATACCACAATAATAAAATTGCCTTACTTAAATTTTAGTTTAAATTGATTTAAATAATTTTTTACCTCAAATGCCCAGGTACATGAAACTCCAACAAAATTTTTAATGCATCTTCCTACTTCCACATCTTCATGTGTTGTTACTAAATGACTTAAGCAGAATTCAAAATGTGGAGTAACTTTTGACAGAGCACTAGCACTCACAACAACACTAGGACCCCCCATACAATAGTTATTTCCAGCTCCTAAACCTAAAGTTTCTTTTTCTATTTTAGTTCCGGTTCCTGCTTGGCCAATATAAAGGTCATCGCTGCTATTAAGAGTACGCAAAAAACTTTGCAGCTTGTCGATACGTATGTAAACATCGTCATCTCCACGAACAAACCATTCATACTCATCAATGTAATTGTCATGCATATATTTTAACATCATCATTGATTTCCTTTGTGGTGGATAAGAATCATCAACACCATCTAAAGAAACTACAGGTAAATCAGTACGCTTTGTCTGGCTGCTTGCAAAAAACATGAGCTTTCCATAACCTTTTAAATCTGATCCCCAAGTTTCATAGACAGCTTTTGCTCGACTATCAAGGTATTTTTCAGCAGTCATAACTCCTATAAAAATAAACTTTTTTTTTCTTAAACCTTTTTCTGCATAACTGTTCAATTCACTGCCTTGCAAATTTTGTATGTTTTGCTTTTCTGTACATTGTTTATTTGAATGATACAAAATAAGTTGTGTGAAAATAACTCCAATTAAAAGTCCCATTAACAGCATTAGCAGACTCCGAAAGTTGCGAGTCATTTTTTTTACTTTTTATCTTCCATAGTGTTTAGTTTATTTTGCCCTGAGCTTTCTGAGAAAACTTGTATCTAAATAAAAAACAATATTAATGTAATAAATATTATCAATATAATTGACTTTTATTTTATGTTTATTATAGGTCAATATATTATAAAAGCATTTTTTTACTATCTATATAATATATAAAAACCAGTATATACAACTATGATGTAATGAGTAGCACTATTATACATACTGATTTATTAATAAAGTAATAAACACTTATTTCAAATAGGAATATATAATATTATATCTAATTTACATATAGATAACACTTCTAAAGAGAAACGAGACCAAAAGAACTTGAATAAATTGTCTAGAGAAAATAACATTTTGCACTTTATTTTTAAAAGTAGAAAACTATATATATATATATATATATATATATATATATATATATATATATATATATATATATATATATATATATATATATATATATATATATATATATATATATATATATATATATATATATATATATATATAGTATATATATATATATATATATATATATATATATATATATATATATATATATATATATATATATATATATATATATATATATATATATTGATTTTGTTGCTTTTAAAATTAACGTGTTATTTGGGAATTCACATCCCTGCTGTCATTAACTTAGTGTTATAATTTTAACATTTAAATAACACAAATTACTTTTTACAATAAGACTTGCTAAGTAACCTAAAAAGTTACCTTTAAATGATAATTGCAATTCATATTATATATACAATATGGTGAATTATGCAATTGATAAACTCAGAATAATAAAAAAAATAAAACTTCACAAAGTTACTGTATCAATAGTTATTTAAGGATAAATTGTATAATATGAAAAAGTTTGTAAAAAAAAAACATTAATAAAAACGTTAAGACAATAAATGCATTATTTCATAATTTAAAACAATAAACAAGAACTTCTTCAGACTAAAAAATAATAAAAAAATCTACTCTGAAAAATTAAGCTTTATAACTTTTCTTGTTATTTGAAAGCAAATTTCAAAAATAAAAATTTTAAAATATAATTAAATAAAGTATTTCCGTTAGATAATTTAAATATTGCAATACAAAATACTGTATATTAAAAAGTATAACAAATTACTATTTTATTATCAATATAATGTTTTTTATTTTAAGAGTAGACTTTTTATGAATTTTTTTCTGAATCCAATCTTTTTAAAAAAAAGAACAACAAATATTTAAAATATTGAACAACTTCCATAACAGCTACTTGCATTACCAGCAGGAACAATAGAAAGTCCAATGGTGCTTTTACTCTCTTTTTCCCAGAGTCCCGGTGTTTGTAATATTTTCTCAACAAGCTCTTCAAAAGCACACTCTACACCATCTTTAGTTTTTGCACTAGCTTCAATAAAAAGCATAGAGTGACGTCTAGCAAATTGTAAACCTTCCTGTCGTGTAACTTGACGCCCTGGTTTATCAATTTTGTTTCCAACAAGCATTTTAACAATATCTTGTTTAGTGGCATATGTCTCACATTCATTTAGCCAATCGTTAAGTTTATCAAAAGTTTGTCTAACAGATACATCATAAACTAAAATCACACCTTGTGCACCACGATAATAGCTTGGCGTTAATGTGCGAAATCGTTCTTGACCAGCAGTATCCCATAAAGCCAGCTTCATGCGATTGCCATCAACTTCAACAGTCTTAACTTTGAAATCTACACCGATTGTAGCTCCAATATCTTGGTCGAATGTATCATCAGTAAATCGAATTAGTAAAGATGACTTTCCAACGCCACTTTCCCCAATTATTAAAATCTTTAACGTGGTTAATATATCAGTATCCATATATTTTTTCAAAACTTATTCAAATAAAATCTAAAATTATTTATAAAGTTAAATATAATATCTAAAATGAAGTTTTTAAATTTTTAATTTCAAAAGTACAATACAAATTAAAGACTTATCAGTTAACAAAAAATACATTAAAAATAGTTTTGATGAATTTTACTTATTTTCAATTAGATTCAATGAGAAGAGAATGAAAGCATGAATTATACTTTATTCCTAATATAAATAACTACATGGTAACGCATATTAAATTAACAATATTGAAAAAATCAGTTCAATTTAATTCTTAGCTCTTCTTAAGCTCACAGAACTTTAAACGTAAATAAACACTACGCAACCATTGCAATATATATTTGACATATTCTATTTTGTCGGAAAAGCAAATGAGATCTTTCGTTAAATCATTTCATTTTTTATCTGTTATGTAAAGACGCGTTATCCTCAGTATCGCTAATATAATTTGATAAAAAGATTTGGGGGAGGGAGAGATTTAATGGTACAGTTGAAAACATACTACCAAGCTAAACCAGTTTTTACGTTTTCTACGGATCTGATAGCATCATAATTGTTGTTAATTAGTTAATTAATATAGCTAAGTTTTTTTGCATAATAAAGGAGACTGGTGAACGAAGAAAAGTGAGAAACCTTGTAAAGGGGACATCCATAAAGTACGAACGCAATAAAACCACTAATTGAGAAATCGTCCTCCCTCTTTATATGCACCAGTGCGCACTTAACTATCCTCTCCTGCTCCTGCTTCTGCGTACGTACGTGTTATTTATTTCAAAACCAACCCCCATTCTCCAACGAATAAATTTTTTAAGTTTTTAAAAATAAAAAAAAGTTAGTTAGTTTGACATATTTCTGTTACATAACATAATATTAACTTTTTAAACTTGTAAAATTTAATGCTTTTGTTAAACAAAAATGAAATCAAGTTTTATGAAGATATACAAAACGATAGATCAAACCGCGTACGTACGTATTTTAGTGACCAACTATTTTAGTGACCAAGTACGTACTAAGTAAGTACGGTCACTAAAATAGACTCACTACTTGGTCACTAAAATAGATGCAGAGCAACAATCTAATTCCTGAATGTTTTTAAATTATATCTAAAAAAAACTCTGATCTTTTCTTTATAACTGACAAAAATTTGACGACAGTAGCTTTAAAATTAAAAACACAGGATTTATTACAAAAAAACTTTTTCCAAAATCCTTAATGCTTAATGACAAACTTTAGATAAGTTTTTAGAAAATCACTCAAAAACAAATAATTTATAATTTAATTGTATTTTTTTCTTTCTGGGATTGTTATTAGGATACAGGAATACCTTATATACATAGAATTAGTCAGCGAATTTAGTAGGGTAGGTCTAGGGTGGTGGTGGCAACCACTGGAAGAAAAATAACCACCTTGCTAGTAATTGCCGCCAAATTTATTTTCCAGTCTTTGCAAAACTCATTTTCTATTAGTCGCCACTTTAGATAATTTTAATTGTTTATAAATTTTTTGTCTTTTTCAGAACAATGTTCAAAGTAATTATTAATGAATAATTATATTTTAATTTAAATACTTTTTAGTTATACCATTAAATATGGCGTAAGTTTTCAGCTGATCGAAACAGCTGTTAGGTTTTTCCATTTAGGTTATACAGTAAATCAATTAAGGTAAATATAAGAATGTTCCAAGACGTCAAGTTGTTTAAGGTGATTGGTTTTAATTAATAACTATTGTTAATGTGTTTATACATTTTAATGTGTAACTGTCAATGTGTTTATTCGACCTTTTACCATTTAATCTTGATGCTATTAATTTCACAAAGTTAACCTTACATAAGGAACATGCTGAGGATGAGCGCGTTTTTTGAGGGTGCCAATCAAGGTGGCTTCGTTGAATCTTTAACCCAAGTAGAACCAAATAGGTCTCTTGGGTTTCTTCAAATATGCTTCACTGAAACACAGACAACTGGGTTATACAGAAACCTGTAAGGGATAAGTACATTTTGGAAACACAATATAGGGTTGGGACAAATTATATACTTAGTTAAACTTCAAACAACTTTCTACACTTATATGTTCTTAAACTAATTTGTGTAACATTTTATAACATCTATAGCCATTGCTAAAAGTTGTATTTAAAATGTTTATGCAGAATTTTAAAAAGTTGCAATGACTATGGTTAAAACAAGATGAGGTGTTTAAAACAAGAAAAACGAAAAAACTTGTTTGATTTTGCTTTTGAACAAAACAGGCAATTAAAGACACATCCACAAATCCAAGTTCTCCCAAGAGCCAATCCTCTACTAGTAGAATTAATTGCCATTATTCATCTTTTGATAATTCAACAACAAAGATGATGTCTCATTTGCGTGTGGTAGCTTTCAAATAAAATAGGTTCAGAATTAATCCCTTCATGATTAACCATAGGTGGTTTCCTTCAACCCAAAAAGCTATAGGTTCGTCATGAGCATTTTTAAGTTGTTTTTTTTCTATTGATCCTATATTATTTTGAACTTAGTGATATGCATGGTCATAAAAGTTTTTTTAGTTTTCTAGTACTACTCTATGCTGTTCTTAGCTAAAGTTTGGACTGTTGCGCAAGGGTTTTAATCAGCATTTAATGTGATGTCAGATCAAGTTGTATCCATTCTGGCGAAAGTAAAAGAGAAAAAGAAACAGCAAAAGCAAGTAAAATTTAAGAAAATGAACAAACTCTTGGCAACTTGGCAAGTTGCGCATGGTACGCCAAATTTAAATTGTAAATTGTCAATACAAGTCAAAGAAGAAGTCCAAAGCAGCATTTTAATCAGATAAGAGCAATTTTAAAGCGACTACTTTTTGGTTCAGCTGTTATTTTATTAAATTAATAAAAAATTAAATAAAAACATTTCTACATTTTTTTTTAGATTTATTTATGAACGGTAATGTACTAAATGAGTCATATATCCTTCATTTTTTGGGATTACTTTCTATCTTTCTTGGAAACCATATATCAAAGCGATTGCAAAATTAGCATCTGCTTATGTTGCATTTCTTTATCATGCTTGCCACTTTCTTACTTAAGATTCTATCTTTTATCTCCATAAACCAGAATTCTGTCTTTGCATGGAATACTGTTGCCATACCTGGGGCGGATCTTTAAATGATGCCCTTTCTCTTTTAGACAAGTTGCAAAAACACTTTTGCAGCCAACTTTCAATCATTGTCAAATTGTCATAATGTTGCTTCTTTTTCTCTTTTCTATAAAAACTATAATGAGCACTGCTTTAAAGAGCGTCTCTTGTGCCATCTACTAAAGTTCATTCTCGTTTTACTTGTCATTTAATTGTCTCACCCTTTTACTGCGACTGGTCTGAGCTAAGTGCTCAAATATTTTTATATTTTTATTTTTTATTTTTTTTTCCTTGAACATCTTTCCTTTGAAATTTGATTTCTTCATCTTGTTTTCCTGATTCATATAATTTGCAATTTTTTAAGTTGTCTGTCAATCGTTATCTTGCTCTATAAACTTCATCTTTCCTCTTCCAGTACCTCCAATTCTAGTAGTGGTTGCTTGCAGCCTTGTTGGAAGTGAAGATGTTTTAAAAAAAAATTTTACGCAATTATATGACAGAAGATTTCTGGTTTAATTTAGTTTAAAACTAAAGTGAAAAAAAGGTATATAAAACTTTGATCCTTTAATAATAATTTAGACTTGAAAATAAACCTTTATTAAAAAAAAAAAAATTTTTTTTCATCGATTATGGCGAATACTTGCAAAAGTAAAAATTCCCAGATGGCAAACATATGTTTCTTGCTAATGATCGCCCTTGTGCTCATTTGGGGACTTTGGCCTCATATTTATAAGTTCTCTCTCGACTAAGCTAAGACTAAAAGATTTATAATTTATGAAATTATAAATTATAAAAAAAAAAGCAAGAAATGAATATTGGATTAAGCCCAAAAAAGTGGCGAACTTTAGGTGTTATACCCGATGGTATTTATAGAAAATAAACACTTAATAGTTTTAATGACTGTTTCAATACGTGTATAATTGGTAAAGCATGAAAATAAATCAGTTTAAAAGCAGTAAAACTTGTTTTAATCAAGTTTTACCTGTGTAAGGTTACGTAAAATATTTAATTTTTGTTAAAAAAACAAAAAAATTTTAAATTTATTTTTAATATTGCGATTTTTTTTTTGTGTTCTTTTAACAATATTTTATGGTAAAATGTCATGGTACATAATATATGAGAACACGGAAACTCGAAGATGATCGTAAGATCCTGTGAACGAGAACCCTTCAACAATACAATAATAATAAACCAATTATTTCGAAAAAAATATAAAATTAAAAGTAAATACCTTTTAAGAAAACATATATAAAAATAAGATTAGATGTCTCAAATGTAAAACACCGATTAATAATACAATAATTATAACATCTTTAGAAGTGTTATCTAATTTTTTGATCTCGTTTCACTTTAGAAGTGTTATCTAACATTTAGATAACACTTCTAAAGTGAAACGAGATCAACAGAACTTGAATATATTGTCTAGAGAGAAAATAACATTTTGCACTTTATTTTTGAAAGTAGAAAAATTATATATATATATATATATATATATATATATATATATATATATATATATATATATATATATATATATATATATATATATATATATATATATATATATATATATATGTGTTATATATTAATATATATTGTCATATATATTATATGTATTGCATATATAAATATATATATATATTGTTAGCAGTGATTCTCACACTCAACTTTGAATGGAATATATAAAACTCTTAAAAAATAAATTTTTCAGCAAATTATAATTCAAAAGTTAACTAACTATTATAATATTAATATTTATAGTTATGTTTTAATGTCTTACTGTTAATTAGTTCAAATAAACTCTGAAAATTATGTTTTACTCATCAATAATCAACACAAAGCAGATAGAAATAGAATATATGTTATATATATGTTTAAACTTGCTTAAATAGTCAAATATCTACAAATAATTTACAGATATTTGGCGATTCGACCATGAATTGCCATATATCCAAAAATTATTTATAGATATTTGACTAGGTAATAGTTTAATAACTTATTAAACTACATTATCTGCAAATGGACTTTTCTTGACAAAGGGTGGGCAGTATTTGAGAAAAGCATGGCCTACGCTTTTATCGGGATATTTCTGGATTGAAGATAATGTGAGATGCACAGTGACGGATCCAGCATTTTTTAATGTTTGCGATAGCAAACTTCCATGGAGAAAACTCCAAAGATTTGTATGTTTATACCAATGCCAAATAATGATGCTTTGCAAAAAATTGCGATGGTTGGAAGCTGGAGACAAAATAGATCCAAAATTTCATCCATCAACCCCCCAAAACGTGACGGCAACAAGTTGTTAAAATATTCTTAACTAGGCTAATAAAATTTTATATGGTCATTTGCAGCCCCCTCAAATTGAAGGGGTTTAAACTTGGGGTTTATATGGTCATAATTTTTGAATGCTGAGAGATAATACTATGAAACTTAAAATTTATTGATAAATATACGTCTAGTTGAGAATGGTTAAAAAATATTTTATCAACTTGTTGCCCTCACGTTTGGGGTGGAGTTAGGGGTTGTTATGAGATTTAAGGGTTTTTTGTTCCTAGCCTCCAATCATCGCAATTTTTGGCGATGATTGGGGACTGGGAACAAAATGCATCATTGTTTGACATAAGTATAAACATACAAACAATTATAAAATTATAAACTCTAATAATAAAAAAATGATTTTAAATTTTCCCTCGCAGAGCCATAAGTTATGTTAAACATCAAAATAGCGCATTAAGTTTAATGAAAATCGCCGCGTTATAGGCTATAAGGTCTTTTTCTGTTTGAGATCTACTTTTGTTTGGAGTCAGCTCCATGTAAGGATGTTATCTCAAAACACCAAAAAAAGCCCTCACTGGAGATGCAGCATAAGAGAAAACCTTGTAAAAATGTTTGCTTTTTACTATTTTAGACATTATTAGTATATTTAAATAATTTTAAAAATATTCAGATCACATGACAAAATAATTATTTTGATGATGCACCCTCTACACATTTTTTATCTGTTCCGTAGAAAACTTTCTTTAAGTTAAAAACCGATATTGCAACCGATATTGCAAGCTGTTTATACTCATCCTAGAGATTTAATAATTACCACGTCAAGAAATTTCTAATTTCCTAGGACGTATTTTGAGAATTGGTAATTATTTAGTTAAATATAGAAAACCCAAATGCAATATTATTTGTATTGGTTCTTTTGTGCACTCTAAACTAAATATGTACAAAAAATCATATTTAATGTTTATGTTAAAAAAAAAAAATTAAGATAACAATCCTTCTGCAAGAAAACAAATTCCTACTGCCATTATGTAATGAAACAAATCCACATTTTTAAAACCTTGAATACCACGTCCTTGGTCATTAACTAAAACTGAGAGAATAACACATCCACACCCAGCCAAACCATAAATATTTAGCTGACTTTGAAACTCCATAAACAATGATGATATAATGATAAACAAAATCGCTAGACAAGCACAAAAATCACGAACTGGCATGCGAAGCAATGAGATGCAATGAAGTAAAGTTGAAAGAATTGACAGAACAAAAAAAAACCAACACAGATTTTGCCATTCTGTACGCTGAGAATATGCTGCAGCTAACATTGGTAAACCTAATAACGTAAACATAATTTAGATAAAAAATTTTCTAAAAATAAACTCAACAAAGATAAGTTAATAGTGGTTACATAAAATTAACATAAAACATTAAAAGTTTAAGTAAAAAGTTGTCAAAAGGTAAGTTGTCATTAGAAACTAAACACCCCTTTCTAAATTTAGATGTTAAATATTGGTTGAGTTATACTATTTATAAATTTCCCTATATGTTGGAGTAACCTTGGAAAACTTTTGGTTTACCATGACTACCAATATTATTTCTCTTAAACAAAAGTAACCTTAAAAAAACAAAAAAAAAATTATTTATAAAGTTATTAAAAAAACTGTTTGCATTCAAGAAAAATAAATACTATAGAATACATTACATAAGTAATTTTAAAGAATTGTAATCATAATAAAGTAAAGATTTACCAATAACTGATGCTAAATCTGTAAAATACTGATGCCATCCTTTAACTAAATATTGTCTTTTTGGAAAAAAATAACCAAATCTCACAAAGCCAACAATTGCTGCAAAACCAATAAATGAAAACCCGAACATGGCAAACCATGAAAGAGTCGCATGACGCCATGAGTATTCACGTAGTTTATTCATACGATAAGTACCTGCAACATAGGAAACCAAAGCAAGTACAAAATCTGATATCATCGTTGATGTTTCTCGATAATCTACCATTTTTATGAAATTATTTTTTCTGTAAAAAAAAAAATCAAGTTGTCATAGATATTATGACAATAGGTATCATAGGTATTGTCATAGGTAAGTCAACAATATATATGTATATATATATATATATATATATATATATATATATATACACATATATATGTGGTGCAGTGGTTAGAGCGCTTGCTTTATAAGCATGAGATCCAGGTCCGAAACGAGCTCTGGACATTTTCGCACCACGGTAAAGAAGGAGGTGTGAACTTCCTGGTTAAAAGCACTTCCACGGTGCTCTGTGACAAAACTGTTAGGTCTTCTTGGAGCACCTAAATAACAAATATATATATATATATATATATATATATATATATATATATATGACTTTTATGACTTTTTGTTTCCTGAAGTGTTAATATTCTTTTTATGGAGCCTATGTTATTAACAAGAATTGATGTTTTTACAAATCCAAAAAAGAAATACATTTTTTTGTTGATTTGATATCAATATATTTGACTAATGAAGTGTGAAAGCAGCAATAAATATTTCTGCATCATAGCAACTGAAGAGTATTTTTTGGATAAAATGTCCAATTTATCGAAAATTTAGTTATTTTAACATTTAGGTTCTTTATTGAAAAAGATACAAAACTAATCTTTATTTACAATTATAAAACTAATGATACTCCAAAATTACTCGCCAGATAAGTAGATTTTTTTATTTTTCTGAAAACAATTAAAATGAAATTAATGCCTTTTAGAAAAACGCTTTTCAATTACAGACTTTACTTTTTGTCAACAATGACATAAACATTTGTTCATAAACCTACAAACTAACTTAAGCTAACATTACAACAAACTAACATAGCAGAACAATTTATAACTGCAAACAATTGTCATGAATGTTTTTGGGTAATAATTCTTTTAAAAAATAAAATTTATTGTTAATCAGCTATAAAAATGACTCAAAATTATCCAAACACACACACACACACACACACACACACACACACACACACACACACACATATATATAGAGATAAAATGACTCAAAATTCACAATAACAATATCCACTTTTTAAATTTTTAAATTTTGTTTAAAAAAAAGATAATTTTTAAATTTCTTGAATTTTTGTGAAGGATATCAGATACCTACAACATTAAAGTTCTTTTTTAGTTTAAAAAATATAAATTTTATACCCTAAATGTTAAAAGATGGCTTCTTTTTAATAAAAAAAAGTCAAAATAAAATGGTACTTCTTTATTTGAAGTTATTAACATGAACAAATAAACTAACAAGTTTTACCCTTTTGATGAATCAATTTATTTTTAATAAGTTAATACCTTTTTTTCTTTCAAGTAGATTTATACAATCACTTTGCAGTTTTAATGTTAGCATGAAATGCAAATATAACAGTATATTAGCTCTCATAAAAGTATATCTTAATTGTGTTTGTAAAACAGTTTAGCACACTTGTATAGCATTTTTTTCAAATAGCAAAAAAATAGCACTTTTAAATATGGTTAAGACAATTTTAACTAATTTAGCGACTGCTGTTTATAAAACTATGCTTTTATGTCTAAAAAAATCCATTCTAAATTTTTCATAAGCATCCTTGATCAGTTTTTGTAAAATAGTTTGTTTATTAAATATACATTTTTAACTTACCATTCTTTTGGAACGTATTAAAAAAATTAGAGAATAATCATTCTGATAGTTTTCACTTTCGAAAATTTTCTAAAAAACTTGGATAAAAAAACAGCTTAGTTTTGGTAGAAATTTTTAAAGGAACAAGAAATTCTAATATATAAACAATGTATAAAAACTAAATAATACATTTTTATTAAAATGATCAGTGTCTATTTTAACAATTGTATGATATGTTGCTAACTGTTGTAAACCTGTTATGCTTGTTTGCTTTAAATTTTTTTTGTTATTGTTGTTCTGGGCATTAATATCAGTTATTATATTATTGAATTTGTTAATCTTCAATATCAGTTTTAGACAAATTTTTTTATTTTTGTTAATGAACTCAAAAATTATTACTTTTGCATTTTATTTTTTAACTTGATTTCATCATTTGAAATTGAATATTTCAACATTCACTTGAAAACTAAATTAACTTTTTACAGAAGCTAATGTGACTGAGATATATCTGCATTTAAGTATCGTCGTTCCAACTGCATAAAACGCTTTTGTTGTATAACCGATAATTAGTCTGGGGTTGAATTTGCATAACTTTTTCTTTGTTAACGAGCAATTACTTTATCAGGAAAAAAAAATTAACTTTACCCGATTTTTATTATACTTATTTTTACGAGTTTATTTTTATTGTATTAAAGGTGCAGATAATGCAGCAAAATTTATGATGTTTGTTCAACAACAAATAAACTTTCAAAATTGCTATTGAGCCAACAATTTGTGAAAATTAAAGAATAACTTTGAATTGAACTACGTAACTAACTACTCAATAAAGTGAAAAACTTTATTTAGCGAATTTTTGATAACGTTTTCAGGTATCTTTACAATAACCAGTATCATTCGATGCCCAGATTTTTTTTCTTCACTGGCTTTACTTTTTAACAAAAAAAAAATAAATAAAAATACTTTAAACCAGATGGCAATATGTCACGTGATTAAACAATGTTATTTTATTTAAAATAAAAGCATATAAAAATGGTGGTTTTTATTATCACAATCTTTTACAAAAATAATAATTCCAAAAATTTTATAAGGATATCAGAGTTGAGTTTAGACTATCCAGACAATGCAGAAGCCTGGATTAGATGCTTTTCAGCTTCTGCTAGGACAAAAAAGTTGAAAGACACGATAAATGGCGACCACGAAGTGACTGATTTGTTTTTATCAAAAGCAGGAATTGACGCGATAAAAAAAAATTTCACTCATGGTGTATCCAGAACAATTAGAAGAAATGACTTTTAATGACATTAAAATTGCTATTATGACCCATTTAAGACCACCGAAACGACTCATAATTGCCGAAAGAGTTAGATTTTTAGCCTTGAAACAGCAAAATAATGAAAACGTTGTATTATACGCACAAGGATTACGAGAGGCAGCATGTTTTTGTAATTTCGAAAAATTGGGTAACCGCAGATGATGTAAAAACACCTATTGTAATGTATGATAAGGAAGCGTTAGGATTTCTTCTCGAAAACATTTTTTCGAAGAGCCAATGCTGTTCCATCCGGACTGAAAGCAAGCAACGTAACACTAATATTTATCCACCCTATGATAATATATTAGCAATAAAAAGTAAGTGCAGACCCGATGGTGTACTTGTAGACGACAAATGTGCAAAGGTTCCTTTACAAATGCTTTTAACGCATACAGCTAAAAGAATTATAGAGATGCAAATAGAAGTATTTGCGACAATTACGGGTAACTTCATATCAAGGGAAACGATATTTAGCTACGGTTTTGACAGCAGCTCTGGTCAATCTCAAAATAAGCAATCTTTCCTTGATCAAAGTGCATCACAAAATGCTGATTCATGTCTGTTAACCACAACAGTGATTCCCTTGAGACTCTTGAGTAGCGCGGGAGCCCCGATTTGGAATAACTGTTTTCCGCAGTCCAAAAGATTTTGTCGGTCTTTAAAATTAGAGTACAAGAGTGAAACGAAGGAAGTGATAACAAGAGAAGCTGCTGATTTAAATAAAAAAATTCAAGAGCTTGAAAACTTACGTGTTAAAATCGAAGCTGGTAAGATAATCGAAATAACGTTCAGACTGTTTTTAACTGTTATAGATGGAAAAGTTTTGAATGTTTTAACCGATACAAAATCAAATCAAAAATGTACAATATGCCATGCAACCCAAACTGACTTTCTTAAAGTCACAGATTATAACAGCGTAAAATTTCATCTTATCGATGGGAATCTAAAGTACGGAATTAGTCCACTGCACTGCTGGATTAGATTTTTTGAGTTCGTACTACATTTAGGATACAAGATGGAAGTAAAAAAATAGCAAATAAGATCGAATGAAGATAAAGATGCTATTAAGAAAAAAAAAGAGAATATTCAGAATGAGTTTTGGAAAGAACTAAGTCTTCGTGTTGATTTTCCGAAAGCAGGTGGTTGTGGTTCCACAAATGACGGGAACACGTCGCGTAGAGCATTTACAGAATATGATAAATTTTCGAAAGTTTTAGGAGTAGACACCGAATTAATATTTCGAATGAGAATAATATTAATATGTTTATCTTGTCAATTTTCCCTAAATTTGGATAAATTTGAAGAGTATTGCTTTCAAACTGGTCAATTATATCAAAGCAAGTACCCCTGGTTGCCAATGACTCCCACAGTACATAAAGTTATATTTCACTCAAAGCAATTAATGCAAAATACAGCACTTCCTGTTGGTTACTTCGGAGAGGATGCAGCTGAGTCACGAAACAAAATATATAAAAGCAACAGACTGCACCATGCACGTAAGACTAGCCGCATTGATAATCTTTTTGATGTATTTCATAGAGCTCTTGACACATCGGATCCATTAATTTAATCTCTTCGCTTAAATACACGTGTGCACCAAAGGAAGCGTTTAACACTGCCAACAGAAGTAAAGGAATTATTGTATTGTGAGGATATCGGTGAAACATGTGCGACTGAGAATTTAGAAAATATGGATGGCGACGAGGACGATTATCCAGAACAACTTGAAGAGGAAAATACATTTTTGGATAATGAATTGTATTTAAATTAAAGAGTTTAATAAGATTTTAATATTTTCGTAAATACGTGAGTAAATCATATTTTCTATCTCCAGAAACAACATATTTACTCGTAAGTATCGTATATTTTCTAATTTAGAACTAAAAAAAAAAAAACTCAGAAAGAAAACAAAAAAAAATTTTATGTAAAAATTTTATTTTAAATTTTAATTCTAAATGTTGATAATTTAAAAAAAAATTATCAACATTTAGAATTAAAAACTAAATTTTATACAAAAACACTTAAAATATATTGCAAATTCAAATTCCAGTTAAAAATTCCGTTATTTTAAGTTTTAATAGTTTTGGCCAAGAAAAGTGATGTTTCTGACTAATGTGCAGTGTTGACGATATGGAACCCCCTTCAGTCAACTATATAGACAAAAATAAAGAAAAACCATTTAAATGCAAATATTGCGGACTACTACACCTACCACGAAAATGTCCAGCATTTGGAAAAAAGTGTAATAAATGTAGGAAATTGAATCATTTTAAAAATGTATGTAAATCTAATATTGATTATGCAAGAAAAGTAGATGAAGTAGAGACTGATGATGCAAGTGTATATTCTATTAACATGAATGACTCAAATTCAGAAACTAATGTCAAAATAAATGGTTTCAACATTAAAATGCAAGTCACTGGAAGTCAGGTCAAAATTATACTTAAAAACTTTTGGGAGTTAATGTCAAAACCTAAGTTACAAATATGTTACCTTCGTCTCAAACAATTTGATGGCACAGTTATTAAAGTTTAAGGAGAATTTGAGGCAACACTGGAAACTAAATCTAAAATAAATATTGTAAGAATTATTGTTGCAGATTGTACAAAAAATCACGGTTTGATTGGCATGGATATATTAAATATTAATGCAACAAACTTTTAACAGTGTAGAACCTTTTGTTAGTGGACGCTTAGTAAACAATAAAGCAAATATAATAATAAAAAATGGAATGCAACCAAGTTATTTTGAATCTCGATCTCTTCCAATTCATATACAATCCTTAGTAATAAATAAACTTAATGTAATGATACAAAAAGGATTGCTCAAGTTCCACCTGGTGGAAGCAAATGGGCTTCACTACTTGTTGTAGTCAGAAAACAAGATGGAGATCTACGTATATGTGCCGATTACAAAATAGAAGTTAATCAACAGATTTGTTCAGATTCATACCTTATTCCAAATGTTGAGAATGTATTTCATAAGATGGCAGGAATGAAGTACTTCGCCAAAATTGATCTCAAGGGAGCATATCACTAAATTGAGATGGACAAAGATGCACAGGAAATAACAACAATTAACACACCTATCGGATTGTTAAGATGGACATGTTTGCCTTTTGGAATAAAAACTGTGAGTGCTATATTCCAAAGAGCAATAGAATCTATTTTTGTGAACATTATTCCTAATATGATTATATTTCAAGATGATAAATGCGTTGGTGGTAAAAATGCTGAAGAACTAAAATGTAATTTGATGAAAATTTTAAATAAATTGAAAGAATCAGGGATAATCATAAATAAAAGAAAATCAGTAATGGAAACTAAAAGCCTCTCATTTCTAGGATATGAGCTATCTGAGTAGGAGTTACTCCTGATCATAATTTAGTTAACAAAATACTCCAAATCAGTCCTCCCAATGATAAAAAAGAACTTGAATTATTTATAGGATTAGTAAACTTTTGTTGTCGACATATTGAAAGATATGCTGAAGATTTTACCGTTAAATAATTTGAGGAGAAAAGGAGTTGCCTTTGAGTGGAAAAAAGAACATCAAAGTGCATTTGAATTGCTAAAGAAGAATCTCTCTGAAGACCCAGTGGTAAAAAATTTACGACATCAATAAAGATCTAGAATTAACAACTGATGCTAGTAAAACAGCAATATCTGGTATATTATTACCAAATGGTCACCCTGTTCTTTTTCTTTCACGATCTTTATCTGATGCAGAAACAAGATATTCTAACATAGACAGAGAAGTCCTGGCTATAGTGTGGTCTTCTCACAGAGCTAGGCATTTTCTGATTGGTAAAAGATTTAAACTTATATCAGATCACAGACCATTGGAGTTCATATTTGATTCTAAGAAAGATCTTCCTAGGAACTTCAAACAATGATAAACTGACTATTGAAAAAGAAATTAATTGTAATAGTGACCTTATTGTACTTCCAAAGATATTGAGAAGGAGATTTATTCAATCCATGATGACATACATTGTGGCATTATGTAGACTTGATGTAGATTAAAATTAGAAGCGTGGTGGCCTGGTTATTGTCAAGATATGGAAGAATATGTAAAAAATTGTGAACAATGTGCTGAGATTATAGCAAGAAATGAAAGAACGATACATACATGGCCTAGTGAAAATAAACCTTAATGTAGGGTGCACATGGATCATGCCTCTGTAAAAAGTGTTGAACTATTTTTGATTTTAGTGGATACCTTCTCTGGATGGCCTGAAGTTTTAAAGGTAACAATCAGGATGCTCTCACAATTAAGACAGTACTCCGAAACGTGTTTTCTAGAAATGGCGTTCCTGAAGTTTTAGTGTCAGATAATGTTGCAGAATTTCATGATACTGCTCTATGCCAATGGCTGAAGAAAATAGGATATTTACCATACAAAACGCCCCCTTATCACCCACAATCTAATGGGTTAGCTGGAAGAATGGTAGGGACAGTCAAGATGGGTATGAAAGCTTATTCAACAGACAAAGGTATATTAATTGCTTATTTAAATAGAATATTGTTAAGTTATAAGACAATACCTCATGCAGGAAAATCGAGAAGTCCATCTGAGATGATGGGGAGGCAGTTAAGATCTCCTCTTACTATGAGTTTTGAAAGTGGGTCACCGTTATGGTATCGCCAGAAACCAGAATCGAAGCCAGACCCAGCAGCCTTCATTTCTCAATAATATATTATTTTATTTATTTTCTTAGCGATTTTTGGTTCATATTTATTATTTTTATAATTATTTTATTATTATACTAATTGTTATAATTAATTGGTGTCACTCATTTTGATTATGAATGACACTCATGTCATCATATTATTTGTATTATTATAGATAATATTATTATTTTTGATTATTATTGTTATAATTATTTGGTATCACTCCTTTGATCAGGCTTCTGTTTGAGTGACACCTTCCTTTTCAAATAATTATTTATATTTATTCTTATTAGTTATATTTTATTATAATTATATTATTTGTATCATCATAGATAGTATTATTATTTTTTAATTATTGTTATAATTATTTGGTTTCACTCCTTTGATTAGGCTTCTGTTTGAGCGAAAACTTTCTTTTCAAATAACTATTTATATTTATTCTTATTAGTTATATTTTATTATAATTATATTGTTTGTATTATTATAGATAATATTATTATTGTTATTATTATTGTTATTATATGATTATATGTAAATTTTGAAAAAGGAAAATAAATATATTGTTGTTGTTGTTGCTGTTGATTAATCCTGCGTTTACCGATTAATAACTGCGTTTAAATTGCGTTAAATAAAACAAAAGTAACAACAAAGTTATAAAAATTAGTACCAATGCTATAAAAGCTATAAAAATTAATACTAATGTTTTCATTATTGATTTATTAATTTAAAGTAAGTTTAATCTTAATATATTGTTGCTTTTGTATATTCTTAATATATTTTAATAAACTCGCGCGTTTATTTGGAAATAGTAAGAAACTAATTTTAATTATTAAAACTAAAATATAATAATAATATAAATAATAAGAATAACAATAATGAGAATGAAATTAAAAATTTATTTGTAATTATTTATATTGTGTTACTTATGAGGCGTTTTTTCAACATAACTAAATCTCCAAACAATGTTAAAAAAATGGTACTAGATTTCTCTAACAAAATTAAGAATGTTATAAGAAATGAATTAAGACAAAAAATTAACAGTGGAAGTAGGTCCTCAACTTCTTTTGATGAGTGGACGTCGATTCAAAATACCCGTTATTTGAATAACAATTTATACGATAGAGACAATTTTTAGAATTTAGGTTTAGTTAGGATCGGCGGAACAATGCCAGCTAAAAAGTGTGTAGTTTTACTTAAAGAAAAACTCTCCGCGTAAGGTTTAGTATTGTATAATGACAGACGGAGCATAATAAAAACATTGGAAAACAATTACAGATTAATCAACAGCTATGATTTGCTCACGGTATTTAACTTGTCATTCTTTCAGTTTTATATAATACGTCAGCATCAAATTGCACGCAAAGATATTTAGTCGAAAAAACTGATGCTCACATTAAAAATTTGGAAAATGAATCTGAATTTAGTGAAAGCTGCGATCAGATAGCGATGATGATGGTGATGAGAATTGCTTTATAGTTGATAATCAAATAATTGAAGACATAATAATTACAAACAAATCGATTGGTCTAGTGTTTAATAAAGTTAGAAAAATCGTGATGGTTTTTAAAAGATCGCCAAATAAAAATTCCATATTGAACCTAGATATTTTTTTTATTTACCGCGGGTTTTCTCGTTTTTTATAAATTGTTTTTCGCAAATTTTTTGTATCTCGAATCTGCGAAATAAATTTGCAATTTTTTGATTAAAAAGCGTCGCATTTTTTTATATAAAATTAAAAAGTAAAGGTTATTTATATTATCTATATTAAATTCGCTTTCAGGGCGATAAAATTAGGCAAATGAATATTTGGTCTGACATATTTTTTACGAATTAATTAAAAAAACGGGTTTGAATTTCATAATATTTTTAAACAACAAAAAACTAATATTATACAATGATTTGATGCAAAACTGTTTTACGATAGTAATATTCTGCCACATTAGTTCTCACGTATTGCCACCATAACCGCATGACAAAAATCTGCTTTAAAGTTTATCGTAACTTTTCTTTAGTGCTTTCATCCACTTTTACACAAATTTAATAAACTTAAAATAAACATTTGAATAATATAATAATTTAAAGCATATATATTTACAAAGTATAGATTAAAATATTTATTGATAATATTATTTAGGGCATATCATACAGTGTGCCATACCATGCCGTATTTTGCATGTAACTAACAAACACTAGGAAAACAAAAACACATGTACAAATCAAAAGCTAACTCAATAAAGTATATAAATCGATATTCGTGTTATAACAATAGCCAGATTGAAGTAGAGGCCCAGGGCAGGACAATTATTCACAAATATTCACATAGTTTGTTGTTACAAAAGCAGCAAAAATAAAAAATAAAACAAACATAACATATATAATAAAATACAAAAATAAATACTGGAGAACTGAAGCCTCGATATGACACCATGAATAACGGTTTTTCAACTTCAGTTGTCATCATCTAGTTCTAAAGTTTCTTCAGTTTTTATTTTTAACAGGCATACTGCAGGGAATCTAAAACAATGTTATTTCACGGTAAATGTTTGATGTTATTAAATAGGCATGACATAAATAGACTTGTAAACAACAATAATATAACACTACCATTTAAAACTTAAAGTCTTTACTCAAGTTAACCTGACATCAAACTTAAAGTCTTGACTCAAGTTAACCTGACATCAAACTTAAAGTCTTGGCTCAAGTTAACCTGACATCAAACTTAAAGTCTTTACTCAAGTTAACCTGACATCAAACTTAAAGTCTTTACTCAAGTTAACCTGACATCAAACTTAAAGTCTTTACTCAAGTTAACCTGACATCAAACTTAAAGTCTTGACTCAAGTTAACCTGACATCAAACTTAAAGTCTTGGCTCAAGTTAACCTGACATCAAACTTAAAGTCTTTACTCAAGTTAACCTGACATCAAACTTAAAGTCTTTACTCAAGTTAACCTGACATCAAACTTAAAGTCTTGACTCAAGTTAACCTGACATCAAACTTAAAGTCTTGACTCAAGTTAACCTGACATCAAACTTAAAGTCTTTACTCAAGTTAACCTGACATCAAACTTAAAGTCTTGACTCAAGTTAACCTGACATCAAACTTAAAGTCTTGACTCAAGTTAACCTGACATCAAACTTAAAGTCTTTACTCAAGTTAACCTGACATCAAACTTAAAGTCTTGACTCAAGTTAACCTGACATCAAACCATTAAATCAGTTGGTGAGTAATATCTTTTATATAATTTAATAAATGCAAAAATAATCAATATCACTAACATTTAGATTGTATCTAATTAAACAATGATCATTTTTGGTTATATTATTACTTGAAAATAGTTATTTGTTCAATTTAATATATTGAAAAAAATTTAAAACAATTGTAGTTTTGACCACAATAAATTTTGCATTAAAATTATTTTCACAATGAAAATTTAAAATTATAAACAAGTATATAGTACTTAAATTAATCTATATATTTATATATATATATATATATATATATATATATATATATATATATATATATATATATATATATATATATATATATATATATATATATATATATACATATATATATATATATATATAATAGTTATCTTCATGATTAGTCAAACATAACATATTTCAATTATCAATGACCAAAATTTATTGTTTAATTTCATGTTGTCTCAGAGCTACATTTTGTGATTATATATTAAATTTATTTCACAGCAGATTCTAAAAAATATGCAACACCCTAATTAACTGGTTTAGAAAATCATTATACATAGATAACTTAGAACTTATCCATTCACAGAAACCCAGGTCAATAATAGAAAAAACCTGTAAATTTTGCAAATTCTATATATTTTTAGTATACAGATATTATTTTATTATATTTTATCAAACTCTGTAAACTAATAGTTTGAGATATTAAAACTCTGGGAAAGTAAAACTTTACTGAACATTCTGAAACAAAAATATTCAAAATAATGTTGTCAGATTAAGTGTAAACTTACTAGATTTAGATGAACCATTTCATAGGAGATTTTTCATAACTTTTATGTGTAAAAAACTAACATTTGTTGAAGTAATGTATTTTCTGTTGTTAAATAAATTTAATAAAGTTTTATTAAAATTTAAAGTTTTATACAAAAATAACATAAATAAAAAATGCATTACCAAAAAAATTTGATATCTTTTTTATAACTTTTTAAATAAACAAATTATATATGACTATATCGTATAATAATACAGTGAAGTTGATTAACTATAGCAAGTGAAAAATACAAAACATTCATAATTATTCAAACATTCAGTTTTTGCAATATTTAGTACCATAAGTACATTTTCAATTTTATATTGTACTTGAGTAGTATTTTATTTAATTTATTTCACAACATTTAAAAAAAATTATAACATCCTGTGATAATTAAAAAACATCTTAAAACCTGAAAGCTCAACATTTTCCTCTTTTAGACTAGCCAAATTGTTTCTTAAACTAATGTCTGAATATTATTATCAAAATATATACACTTTTATATTTTAAAGAATTTAAAAAATGTATTTAATAAAAAAATATATTCAAATAAAATGTGATAATCTTTTTTATTAAGCTAAACGTTAAAACACCTGATAATTTTTGTTATTACTTTCTATTATTTACAAATAATTCGCAATATAAATAATTTAAACATTTTTTCATATAAAACCTTATATTATAACTTAAAATATCAGTTACAGTATTTATAATATAAGTATTATACTATTAGTTATATAAATTATAGAAAATGCAAAACATTTATGTATTTATAAATAATTAGTAAAGTTTGGATATGGCAGTGTTACTTAATAAAACCTTACCATATTTTGTAAAGTGGCAGTGAAATTTGCTAACATCTGACCGATTAAATCTGGACAAAAAGAAAAAATTTAATAACTTTTTAACGGATAAAGATTTTTTTTTTTTAAAAAACGATAAAAAATATTATCATTCAAATAAAATTAAATAAAAAATTATAAGTTTTGGATTCCATTTCGCCGAGCTGCATCAACTCTAGTTAAAGACAATCATCCAAATCGTTGTACTAAATCAGGATCTAAGTTTTTTAAGCAGTAGTCAATTCTATTACAAAGTTGTTCCAAAGTTTCAGCTTGCCAGCATTTAGCATAAACTGTTCGTTTGATTTCACTCCAAAAATCTTCCATCGGTCTAAGTTCTGTTTTTTTAAAAACAAATACTAAATGCTGTATAAATAAAAAATCCATAACAGTATAGATAAGGCATGTAAACGAAGACTCGATTACAATTTTATACAGCTTTTGCGTGAAATCAATTAGGAGCGTTTGAATAATTGCAATGACGCATGTAGCGCATACGATTTCTTTATCCGCGTCTTTACAAGGCAATATGATAAAGCTTTTCCTAAAGTTCGGAAAAATATAAAATTCAAAAGTTTGCATACCCCGTGGATGACTAAAGGTCTTTTAAAATCATCAAAGAAAAAAAAAAAAAAAAAGCTTTACGAAAAATTTTTAAAAAACAAAAACTATGAATACGAAACTAAATATAAAAAATACAAAAACTATTTCGAAAAAATTAAAAAGCAATTTAAAAAAAACTTCTTTTCTGGTCTACTACAGAAATCATTGGAAATGCTAAAAAAACTTGGACTATAATAAAAGATATAACAGGGAAAACAAAAATTACATCTAGCAACCTCCCTAATCGACTGAAAACCGATAAAGGTGAAATTTTTAATAAAAAAACAATTGCTGAGTGAATAATTTTTTTTATAAATGTTGGGAAAAATTTAGCCAAAGAAATCTTTCCAAGTAGCAAAACATTCCAGTAATTTTTGAAAAAATCAGATTTTATTATGGACAATTCGGAACTTTCCATTGATGAACTTCGTTCAGCTTTTGACATGCTTCAGACAAATAAAAGTGCAGGTCTTGATGAAATTAATGCAAGTGTTTTGAAAAGTGTCTTTGACATTATCGAATTGCCTCTTGTCATTATTTTTAAACTTTCATTAAAAAACGGGGACTTTCCTGATCAATTAAAACTTGCTAAAGTAATTCCAATTTATAAAAACAGCGACGATTCTTTAGAATCAAACTACAGACCTATCTCAATTCTCTCGTGTTTTTCAAAGGTTCTCGAACGTATTATGTATATTAGAATATATAACTTCATTGATAAAAACAATATTTTATATTCTAAACAGTTTGGATTTCGGAGAAATTATTGCACTGAGCATGCTGTGATGGATTTGGCTAGCAATATTTTGAAAGGATTTGGTGACAATAATTATACACTTGGAGTTTTTGTTGATTTATCGAAGGCATTCAACACTGTCGACCGCAAAATCCTTCTCTATAAGTTAAAAAATTATGGAATTCAAAATACTAATCTAAAATGGATCGAGTCTTATCTACAAAATCGTAAACAATGTGTAACGTATGATTAAAGGTGGTACGCAGTTAGAAGTTATTAGATGCGGTAACCCTCAGGGCTCAATACTTGGTCCTCTTCTGTTTCTCTTATATATCAATGACATCCACTTATCTTCTAAATTCCTTAATTTTGTTCTTTTTGCTGATGATACTGATATTTTTTTTTTCGGGGTCTAATTTAAAATTTGTTTTTTATATTGTAAACACATAGCTAATTAATCTCAATGAATGGTTTAAAGCCAACAAACTGTCCGTAAACATTCGAAAACTGATAACATACCCTTAACACTTCCTGATTTATTTATAAACAACATTAAAGTAAAAAGAGTTCATTTAATGAAAATCCTAGGTATAATATTTGACGATCATTTAAACTGGAAAAATCAAATCCAATTAGTGGAAAAAATTTTTAAAAGCTCTTGGGATCCTTTTCAAAACAAAGCACCTTTTGAATATAATGTGCTTAAAAAGCTTGTATTTTTCATTTATTCATAATCACATTAGTTATTGCAATATAGTGTGGGCAAGTAATTATTCATCTTCTTTAAAAAAAATTAATACCAAACAAAAGCAAGCGAGCCGGTTAATTTTGAATGCAGGTAGATATGCATGCGCCGAGCCGATACTTAAAAAATGCGCCGATACTTAAAAAAATTAATGTTTTAAATATTTATAAACTAAACATCAATCAAAATCTGTTATTTATGTTTAAAATTCATAACAACATGCTTCGAACATATTTTCAACCGCATTTTACCTTAATCATAAATACTCTACAAGACATTCCATTGGCAACTTTCTCATCCCTCAACATCCCTTAGAAAAACAGATTTCTCAATTACATGTCGAGGACCACGTTTGTGGAACTATTTCTTTAATAGAGACATGAAAAACATGACTTCAATTGAACTATTTAAAAGAGTAGTTAAACGATACTTATAAGATTTAAATAATAAAAACATTCTTTTGTATTTTTTAAAATATTTATATATCGATTTGTTAACACGTATTTATGCATCTTATGAATTATATATTTTATGAGCTGTAATATGTTATAGTATGTACAAAACTTGTAATATGTATAAAACTTATAAAGCGTATATTTTAGGAACTTAATACGTAAATCTTATTTGATATTTTCACGAACTTAGGAGCAGGGTGATAAGACGTATTGTCTTCTAGTTGCTCCTGTCAGAATATAGAGATTTAATTTTTAATTTTTAAAAAAATATTGTAAAATGATTGTTTATTGACAAAATATATATATATGTTAAATGGAAATATATATATGTTAAATATGTATATATATATATGTTAAATATATATATGTTAAATATATATATATATATATATATATATATATATATATATATATATATATATATATAAATATATATATATATATATATATATATATATATATATATATATATATATATATATATATATATATATATATATATGTTAAATATATACATATGTTAAATATATATATATATATATGTAAAAATATATATATATGTTATAAATATATATAAATGTTAAATATATATATATATATATGTTATATGAAATATATATATGTTAAATATATATATATGTTAAAATATATATATATATATATATGTTAAATATATATATATGTTATAAATGTTAAACAAAAAAAAACTAGGTTCAAACTTTTGAACTCTTTTAAGTTTGACTTCATTTGACGTAGTCACGATCGCTCGAATAATATCCTGAATTTCCAGACAATCGAAGTTGCTCAAACCGAAATAAGACTCATCATCAACTGAAAAAAAATAATGACTTGTTTTTTCCGAAAAAGCTTGGTAAGTTACTAGCATTTTGTACGCGCAACCTCTTTTTGCTTAACAGTTCTTTTAGGCGCTTTTTTCTTTTTGTAATATTTGATGTTTGTCTTCTGTTTTATCGTTTTAAATATGTTGATTTAGACACACCAAATTTTTTGGCAAGAGCGCGTTGGCTAATTCCATGGTGATGATCAATTGAGTTTTTTAAAAGTGTAACTTTTGCTTTGGTCATTTTTAACATCGGTGGTTTACTTCTAACCTTCCGTTCAGGTTGTATTTTATTCTCCATTCTTTTAAAAATATTATAGCAGATTGATCTAGGAATTCCTTCCTCTTGAAAGTGTTTAACAATCTGTGGTTTAGTCCAAGACGAATGGTTTTTAACGAACTGGTACATGGTTTTTCTTATATTTTCTTCTTTTGATGTGTTAACTTTAACCATTTTTAATAAAATTTAAATTTCAAGTGTGTATTTCGTTTTTGTAACTTAGTGACTAAGCCATAACTGTTAGCACACCAAACCATATAAACTAGTTTGTTATATTTTCAACATTTGTATATTGCATAAAAAAATAAAAAATATGTCTTCAGTTTGATAAAACATTTTACAAGTCTGTAAAAAAGTAAACGTCAACGTTTATACTCTCAAACTTTTTAATGGCTAAGAAATTTAGAGCATTTAAGAAGTTTAAGAGTATGCCATGTTTTTTTTTTTTTCTTGAAATTGTTTGTTAAACATTGCTATTAAAATATTTATACTTTTATAATAGAATTAAAACTGATATGTAAATAATTATTTTTTACAAAAATACTAAAAATGAACCTAATTAAGTTCCTGTTCACTCCAAATCATGTATGTGTCATTTTAAAAGTTTTTATCATATTTTCAACCATTGGTGTTGCCGCAATCGTTGCACCATATGGGACCCATCTTTTACCCAGTTCAAATCCCAGCCAAAACTCAGTTTCAATAATCTAGTTACATCCAGCTGGGACCCAGGTTTTTGAGGTTAACTGGGCAGTTTATCATTTTTATTATTAATTACTTTTATTTACAAATAATTCGCAATATAATTTATTTAAACATTTTATTAAAACCTTATGCTACAAATTAAAATTACTTAAAATAAAGGGAAACAAGTCTTACTTCTTTATGTCAAGTTATAATATTTAAAGTATAACTCAAATTATAAATATTATCACTCTACAAAACATAGCATTACAATGTTTTGTAAAGTGATATTACTATTAGTAAGGTTTTACTAGTGACACTGCCATTTATAAAAATTTACTTATTATTTTTTGTTAGTCATTTATTGTTTTACTTTTTAGTTATTAATTATTTTTAAATAGTGAAATCTAACTTTTTATAGTGTTATATAACTATTTTTTTCTTTCTTTTTAACCATTTGATATATATATTTTATTCTACCGTGTATTATTATTACTTTTTTTATTTTTATTTATTTATTATTTTTAATTTATGTTGTTGTTTTCTTTTTGTTGCTGATGTTGTTTTTTTATTTTTATTGCTAAAAGAACTTAACGTAATATTTTGTTTTGCTTGTAATGTTTATTGTAGCATTTTATTTTGTTTTGATTTTATTAGAGTTTTTCTGTTTATATTTTATTTATTTATTTTTTCATAATATTTACAATATATTTTGGTTATTATATCACTGTTTGTAACAGCAACTTTGTATGTTAGAACGATTTTATGAATTTTATGAAAAATTTTTAATGAAAAGTTTTATAAAAAAATTTTTTTTACAAAATATAGCAAAGTTTTACGATGAAACATAGTAAAACTTTGCTATGTTTTGTAAAAAAAACTTGTCAAAGTCATATTACAAAATATAGCAAATTCAAAGGTTTTTCAAAAAGTCTATGAGATTTGCTTGAAAAAAAAAAGACTAAACACACTAAGCCATTACTGTAAGTAGGTACGCGGAAATCGCGATTTACGGAACCGATTTGTGCTTACAATGTAAGCTCACTAAACCATATAAACAATTTTCAAAATTTTTAACATTTTTTTATTGCATAATTACAGAATATGCCTTTAGTTCAATAAAAAATTTAACAATTCTTAAAAAA